GAGAGAGAGAGAGAGAGCAGAGAAACATATCATACTTCACTGCACTTCTGATGACATCAAATGGGTCTGTTCCAGCAGCGACAAAAACCAAATGGGTTCCATCGTACGTCTTGACATCCGGATCTCCTGAAAATTTAAGAAAAGCAAACAAAAAATTTGAAAATTTGTTTCACTCTGAAGGAAAATTAAAGAGAAAACAGATGCCCATTTGTTTCGATCTCAAATTACTTTTCAAATAGTTAGAAATGTATGATCGACGGTTGCACAATCAAGTTCTTTGGGTTAGAGAGAGAGACCATGCTTGCTATAGCCAATCATCTTAGTTCTTACCACTTTCAAGACAGATCTCCAATTCATTGTTGTCATTTCCTTGAAGAACCGCTCTGAATGATCCTTCTAGAACTGGTAAGAATACCGTATAAATAACAGATTCATTCAATTCATCAAAATGGGATCCGTCCCTCCCCTCAACAATCAGAAATTGGGTTTCAAAGGGAATGTCTTTGCCACAAGAACCCATCCTTTGTGTCATCCACCATAGCTTAAACCGGAAAGTACACATAAATCTCAGACCCCTGTAATTCAATAAGAGACGCTAAATCAAGCACATACCATTAATATGTTCCACCATGAACACTCATACGACACTATAATCAGAGAACCACTGAAAAAACCAACAACTGATAAATTAATAAGATCGAACAAATCGGCAACCTGTTCAGTGGAAGTTTATATAATTGATATTAGGCTTCTATTGCATTAAAGTTATTTCATTGCTCGCAATTCTTCCAAAGGTAATTGATACATGCAAACAAAACTATGCATCCATTTCCAGTTAAAAACCAAAAAGAAAGGGAAAAAAAAAAAAAGTTTAGGCAAAACCAAAAAGAAAGGATCAAAAGGCCAAAATTAACCACCAACGGACTCAAACAAGACATCAAAATAAAATTGGCAGATCAAAGTATTACCAATATTTAAACTAATCTTAAGGACATCAATGAATCAAACTTTAGAATGGAAAATATTTGCTGATAAACTACCCAAAAATTTAAAGTAATGAGAAACAAAAGATTAATGGGTACTCACTCGAGTGTTCCAATGGGAAAAACATGCCGGCTCCCAGTCTGATCTGATGTCGCTCCTATAAATGCCCCATTTGTTAAACCCGAACCAGTTGCAGGTGTTACTGTGATATTGCCATGAACATTTGACAAAACACAGGTCCCCAATACCATCAAATTACCATCATTTATAGAGATTCCAGCTCCCACAGTCATCTTTAATGGGAAATGGAAGTATACAAAATTTTAGAAAAAAGAAAGCAAGCTATGGTGCAGTGGGAAATGCCTCAAAACTCAATCTTCAAAGAAGATGAGAAGAACCCAGTAATCTTACAATGCTCAAACCAAAAATAAACAAAAATGGCAACCCAAGACACAGACTGAAACTACAACAGGGGGGAAAAAAATCTAAAATTTCAACCCTCAGCAACAAACACAACGAACAAACATTCAAAAAAAAAGAAAAATACAAGCTCTAGAAGAACAAAGTACCCAAAAAATGAAAAACTGAGCTCAAATTTGACCACTCGGAGGAAGAACGAAGACCCCAAGCAAATCTACCAAACTAGAAATCTATAGAACAACAAAACACAAGTTTAGACGAAGAAAAAAAAAAAAACCTACTAGATTTGATAGAGAGAGAAGAGGGAGAAGCAAAGCTCAAAAAACAAAGAACTGAAGCTCAAGTGAAGATTGAATCAATGACCAATGCATCCCAAAAACTATCAAGGAACCAGTATTTAAACTGCGAGGAAGATATTTTTATTCAAAAAAATGGTGAATATGAAAATTAATTAATTCATGAAAAAACAAAGCTCGAATGACGAGGAAATATAAGAAAACAGCAAGAAGTCACGTGGTCTCGGAAAGGTCCCAACAAAATATTTGCACTTTCGATACGTACTGCTCACGTATCAACTGCCGCACCGCATATTTGGCCTAGATTTCGGCATCAGATAAATACCGTGAGCCGAATCCCGAATCCGAAATGTTCCGACATTTTGGCAGATGGATCGGCGAAATTCAAGTCCCACGTTGAATAAAGAAAAAGAAATTTCCCGTTTTATTTTTGGAATTAATAAATTTCTATATTTTTATGGGTGTGGTTTGTATAAGGTTGAGGCCCCGAGCAATCAAAGTGAGGCGCACCTTTAAATAATGTCTAAAAATGTTGTTTCATGTCGAAAATATTTATGATAGCCTGAAAATTTATTTTCATTTCTAGTTATAAAATTTGAAGTTTAAAAAATAGCATAGATCCATTAGATCGGTGAACAATTAAAAATCTTGAAAATTGATGGTCTACATAAGCATTGCTTTTGAGAATTGAAGTCATTTTTTATTTTGAAGGTCAAGATGAGCTGATCAGATTTGAAGGTTTTCGGCATCGAAATAACTTCTTATTGTGAATTTTTGAGGTGTGCCTTAATTTGATTGTTTGGAGCCTCAACTTTATATAAATGTTTTTCTATTTTTTATATTTTATGGTTAAATTTATTTTTTGGTATAAGTTATATTTGAACTTTATCTTTTTCTCTATATCTACAATTAAGCTCAAATTTGGAAGGTTAGTATTTATTATCATAGAATAAAAAAAATTTAACATAAATTAAATTACCAAAATACATCTAAATGCTATATGGGTATTTTGGTTGTCTATTATTTTTATAATTATTTCTTAATATTTTTTATAGGTGCCTGGTGGAATGATGGAAAGAAGTATAGACACAAATTTTAGGTTAATTTGATATGAAGAAGATAAAATCAATTTCATTTCTTTATGAAAACAAAGTAAAGACTCACCTCAAATCCTTATATCGAAAGTACGTTGGGCAAATTTTGAAGTAAAAAAATAATACAAATCTTACAGATCCATAAACATTGATTTCTAAGCGGAATGGATGGTTTAAAACATGTATTATAATACACACTATTTTTAAGGCTTGAAATCCTAATTATTTTTCGCAACCATAATGTAAAGCGGAGATGATCGATCCAAAGGCTTTCTGATGTTAGGACTACAATTTCCGGTAAATTTTGAAGTGAGGTTATTTTGCCGATCAAAACATTTTCCAATTATTTTCCTATAAATATGAAAGAAAGTTTGAGGAAATCACGAATTACAATAAAGCAAACTCATTTCTTGGAGTTTTATCACCAATTTATCGGCTAAGTTTTGCCAAGTTTTCATAGCTGGAACTTGAAATTGTGCTTAAATGTGGTTCGTTCAAGGGTTCGCCTCAATTTGGAGAAACCAATTTATTATTATTCAATCGCCATTTTTTTCCTAAATTTAGTAACAAAACGGCAATTCAGTCTGAAAGTTGTGGCAGATAACCAAATTTGGCAAAATTGCCACTTTTGGCGTCCAAAAAGGAAAGTATGTAAATAAAGGTATATCCTATGTGCCATTCACACACAAGGAGTAGATCCACCGCCGGTTGAGATGATGGATGGTGGAGATAACAATTGACATCCTCTACTCTACGGTGTTTGATTAATCTACAACATCTAATTTGTTTTGTAGTTTCAAATATCATAAATAGGCTCCCGTTTCATTGGAACGTGCGCATCGAGCACTACATAAGTGTACTTAGTATTCAGTCTTGTGTATTGTATATGTTGTGCGTAACACAAATCACTCAATGTACACTATGCACGTGCAAAGTATAAAAAGATTCCCCGTACTTACAACGAGTTTTATTTTTTAACCAAAATATTGGGATGCTTAGCGATTTTCAGGTCTTTTGGTGCAAAATCACTGACATCATGATCCGGTCCGACTAAAATGAGTTGCGAGGGATTTTGGAACCGTGGAGCATGCTACAAGCCCACACATGCTCCACAGTATTGTATGCTTGAAGGAAAAGTATTTTGTACATCAGGGGATGCAATTCTATGTTAGCGTCGCCAGACACATCAAACATCCATTGTAAGGATGAATGTAAAGAAGGGGTGGTTTCAAAAAAAAATAGAGCCACCAGTTTACAACTCTTCTTCGAAACATATTATTCTTAATTTTTAAAAATTATTTTTTTATTTGTCAATGATCTCCATGTTAGAAAATATATATTTCTAAGAAATTAAATTAGATTAAAAATCAATCTAAAAAGTGCATCATGGAGTGAAGTGGCAATATGTACAAATGACCAAGGAGACTCATAAAAAACCGTGTACATATTTAATTTGCAAATGTTTTGAGCTTCTAAAGGTTGTTGTATTGCTCATTATTTATTTTAGTTAAACAGTGTAGATTTGATATATTTTTTAAGATATTGTCATCATATAGTGCCGAATTTATATTGTTTACATAAAATAGATATTGTAGATTACTTAATATTATTTTATAAAATAAAGATGATAGTTAACCAAGAAGAAAAGCAAGTGTTTATTGTGATACATGATATGGAAACAATATCATATTAAATTGGTAGCGTACATCAATGCGTTTGATAGTGTGAGGTGCTTATCAGTATTTCAAAACCCACATTGGTGGGGCAGTTTGTTCACCCACAAATTCATGTCTTCAATTCAAATTGGGTTTGGATCATTCCGATATAAAAAATCATAAAAAGTAAATGAAATAAAATAAAAAATTAATATAAAGATTAATAGGATGGGGATTTTTTAATAACATACGCCGAAACCCATTTTAGGGACTGCAATTTTCCCCAAAATTTTCCCACTAAGATTCCCGTAATAAACCGAAAATTAGGTGTTCTAGTTGCCACCGAAAATTAGGTGTCGCCACCCGAGAAATGGTAGATATGCCGATGTGGTGACGTCTGCATTGACCCCGTATTGGCTAACGTGGACATGAGTAGATCTGACGTGGACTTGATCATATGAGAGGGACGTCAAAGGTTTGGCACGTCGGACCAAGGTGTAAGGTTGCCAGGTCCTTAGTCAACGTGGACATGAGTAGATCTGACGTGGACTTGATCATCTGAGAGGGACGTCAAAGGTTTGCCACGTCGGACCAAGGTGTAAGGTTGCCAGCTCCTTAGTCAACATCTTCTGGTAAGAAAAAGAGCATCATAAATCATGCATGATTGTTGCCACGTCAGTTATTAAAAAGGCTCCAATGTCCCTTTGACTCAAATCTCAATTAAAAAAAGGTGTGCTAGCGTAAAAAATAATCTTTGAAAAAAAATGTCGGGTCGTATCGGAACAGTTTAATTCTGAATTAGTGAACCCATCCGATTCAACTTAAGAATTAATGAACCTATCTCAGTTTCTTGATTATATCGGGAGCCAGGGAGTTTTCACTAGGACCTCTTTGGTTTTTTAATATAACCTATCAGTTCTACTCGGGAAAATGGCTGATATGGCATCCCATTTACTAAATTTGTTCTCAAATTTTTAGTTTTTATTGGTCGATTCTCTCAATTGGATCACCGATTGGCCGACTTGTGCCAATTTTTTGGATGACAGGTTCACACTACCGGTCCAGGTTTTTATACATTGATAAAGAGTAATTGTTGGGTTTCTGTGGCCTTTAAAGGCCTTACGAGTGTTGGTAACATAAAATGATGTAGTGGAACATGAACTTAGTGGGAGTGTGGTCCCTCGTAGACCCTACTAAACAAATGATGGCTTGCTGATACCTATCCGTGCTTCACGATCTAGGTCAGTCGGTTGGAAAAAACCTATGTTACTTGAGCATGAAGAACAAACCAATAAGGGTTTATGGATTAACCCTTGCTGAGGTCGGAGAACATGCCCGGATGAGTGAGCCGAGGGACTCTATGACCCTTGTATGTGATAGTGGCGTACTGAGATGGGCCCAAACTTCATCCATATCCCATCGCACGGCATGCATATTGATAGATCGTTCAGGAAAGTCAGATATTTACGTTTGGGTGAAGTGTATGCATGTAGGAGAGATACCCCTATGCGCTATAAAGCTGTGGTCGCATCAAGTCGTGGTGACCTTGACTTGTTTATAAGAGAGGACCTATAATCCATAGACTGGTATTGCGACCCCTTGATTCATCGACCTGACTTTGGTGGCCTGCTAATGAGGCCCTACTTGGACTGTGGGTCATGGGAAATACTGGGTCGGTTCGAAAAAGCTAGTGTGGTATGTAGTCCACAGTTAAAGGCGTAGTACCCCGTTATTACAGATTGGATTACCAAAACCATATTGATAATTTTCCCATCATATTAATTTAATTATGTTGATTTTA